AAGCTGAGCCGGCCACTCGCTATCCCGTCTCCAGCCCTGCAGGGCCTCGGTTTTCTCATCTTTAAAATGGAGCCATTGGTCACATGCCCGCGGGGATCAGGCTGGCCGAGGAGCGGGCCTACTGGGTGCATCGGCCTGAGGAGGGAGCCGTCCACGCAGCAGTGCTGAGCAAGCACCTGCTGGTCCAGGGCTCAGGAGCAGCAGGGACCAGACAGGCCCAGATCCCCGGTCTGCGCTTCACTCCCACGGACGGCACTGCTTTTGGTGGCAGAGGGGCACGGGGCCGGCGGGCTGGGGTGGCGGCCTGGGAGCAGCTCTGAGGTGAGAAGCTGCCCTTGGTGGCCCTCACCTCCCAGTGGCTCAGATGGTAAGGAATCTGCCTGCGATGAAGGAGACCCAGGTTTGATCCCTGGGTCAGGATTATCCCCTGGAGAAGAGAATGGCTACTGTCTCCAGTATTCTTGTCTGGGAAATCCCAGGGACAGGGCAGCCTGGAGGGGTGTAGTCCACGGGGTCGCAGAGTCAGACACGACTGAGCAAATAGCACTTTCACCTCCATCTGGGGGCCGCCCCAGGTCACCGGCAGCTAAGTGTCAGGGCTGGGGCAGGACTTGCCACAGGGACATCCCGATTCCCTCCCGGTCCTCGGGGGCTGGCAGCAGGTAGCCGACAGCCCGCCTGGCCCTGCCCAGCCCTGATCCCCTCGCCTCTGCTGGACAGGGCTCCAGTGGAGGCGGTGGTGTTGCCAAGCCAAGGCTCACTGTTGCCAGAGGTTCAGGCTTTCAAGAGAAGCCGGATGTCTAGGTTAGCTTACGAGGTCTCCTGATGTCCAAATGTTGGCAACTATTTCAAAAATTAAAAACAAACAAACACACGGACAAAATATCTGTCATCCAGATCCAACCTGTAGGCTCAGTCTGCAAGCTCTGGTCTCGATAAAGAAATTGTTTCTGTGAGCGAGCGTCTGTGGATGTCGTTAAGCACAGATCTGTTTGACGAGCACGTGCCTGCCGCTGTCATTGGCCGCGTCAGCCGGCCTCGCTGTGACGACGTTCGTTTCCACCAGGAGGGCTCGGGGGCAGGGAGGCGCTGAGACCGTCCTGCTTGGGTCCCTCCCCGCTGGCGTCTCCCTGCTGCCACCCTGCATTCCCGGGGACCATGCCCCTCATGCCTGCTGCCCCGACTCCTCCGCAGGCTGCCACCAGCACTGCAGCGGTTTTACAATGTTTGCACTTTCAGCTGCAGCAAGATAGGTGGGCACAGTTACCCGGTTCCCAGACGGGGCACACGCGGCCAACCTCAGCAGAGGCCCCACGAGCCTCCCCAGACGGCGCGCAGAGCCGCCCCCCGGCCTCCACTTCGGGAGGGGGCCTCCTGCTCCCCGCAGACAGGCGGGGGAGTGTCTCACGAGTTACCGTGTTTTTACTTATAACAGAGGAAGAAATAAAAATACACACTCGAGTAGCGTGATGCTGTTCCAAAGGGGCCTGGAGGCCTGGGGAGAGACCTGAGCTTTGGTATAAATTCAGAGCCAAAATTCAGGCCAGGCCGGGGCTGCGGCTGGTGGTTCCACACCTGGTGGACCACCGCGTCGCAGCCACACGTGGCTGGCAGGGCTGGGCCCCGTTCAGAGGTGACTTTGGCAGGTCTGGTCCTCAGTACGTCCGACCTGTGCAGTGGAATCACCTGCTTTCTGATGTTCGGGGGTCACCTGTGGGGTGCCATCCCCGGAGGCTGGAGACCCCTGGGGCAGCTGGTGAGACCCGGGGACCCTGGCTCCCGAGAAGTGACAAGTGTCATTTTGGGAGGTCAGTGCGTTCTCGAGGTCCCGGGTGTGACGCAGTCTCCCACGAGGATGCCCGGGGACTCTAGGACTTCATCTGCTGGCCACGGCCATTACCTGGCTGCTCCCATCCTGTGGAGGCACAGCTGAGGCTTCCCGGGGAGAGGGCTTGTCTGAGGCCCCAAGGCTTCAGGGCGTGGACAGTGTTCCTGCCTCTGGCCTCCCTGAGTTCCAGCACCCTAGGCCCTGAGGCTGGTCAGCCGGCCTGCGGGTGCTGTGGGGAAACTCAGGACCGCCGGCCTTTCTTGCAGGCTTTGCTGGGACTTGAGGGATTGCTGGAGGGTTTGGAGGAGCCTGCCAGGTACTGGGGCTTCCCAGGCAGCTCAGGCGGTAAAGAACCCACCTGTAATGCAGGAGATATGAGACGCAGATTCGATCCCTGGGTTGGGAAGATCCCCTGGAGAAGGAAATGACACCGCCCTCCAATATTCTTATTGGGAAATCTCGTGGACAGACTCACTGAGAGCAACTGGGCGTGCAGGCAGAACGCACGCCCGGGTTCTGACCAAGCCGGCAGGCTCTGCTCCCCAGGGGAGGCACCAGCAGGGACACGCCAGGCCCCTGGCCCCAGCACCCCCGGCCCTGCCAGCCCAGCAGACGGAGGCAGAGGGGCCGTAACGCCCCCAATTAAAAAAGAAAAAAACGAAGCCCAAGAAAGGCAAGGAAAAAAAAACCCGGGAAAACCTGGGAAAAAACCCCCCCGCAAAACCACCCGCAACGGCCCAAGACCTGGGGCTGGCCCAGACCTGGGGTGGACAGCACGCGGGAGGTCCACGTGCCTGGAGGGTGGCGGGAAGGGGTGGTGGGAGTGTGGCTGGGGGGTCACATTCTGTGGGGTCTGGGGCTCCTCCCCAGGTGGTGGGAAGCTGCTAGAGGACTTATAGCAGGGTTGATACGTGGCCTGGGGCCCCCGGGGGTTCTGACCGGAGCCGAGAATTGAACGCAGAGCCTAGAGGGGAGACGGGCCCAGGGCCTCCCAGCTGCGGCCTCCTGGGGTACACACGGTGTGTCCCCTCTCCCCGAGGCCCCGGCGAGTGGTCACCGCGTCCCTGTGTGAGGGAGAGCCGACTGGGGCGCTTTTCAGGACTAGCTCAAGACTGGGGTTCTGGAGGGTGGTTTCTCCCCACGGTTGAGGCTCTGGTGTAGCCGGGCACCCAGCCCTGTCCCTTCTGGCTCATTCGCCATCTCTGGATCCTGGCTCTCAGGCTCTGGGAGGCTCCGGATCACCTGGGTCCTGCAGGGAGACTCTCCCCGGAGCCACCGAAGGGCGCCCCCAAGAGCAGGCCCCCGAGCTGGCTGGGCTCTAGCTGGCCAGGGTCCAGCCCAGGAGGCCGGTGCCCCCTCCCTCCCACCCCTGCCCGGAGAGGGCCCAGGCAGGGGGTGGGGCGCCTAAACTAGCGGGGTGAGTGGAGTGGTGGGCCCCAAGCCCAGCGCAGGGCTTCAGGAGGGTTCCCGTCTACCCAGAGGAGGCTGTGGGTGATCCCAGGGGGCTCCTGGTGTGGCTTGGGGTGTCGCTGGAGCAGGCACAGGGGAGTGTGCTGGTTCCCTGGTGACCCTGGTGAGAAGGGCCTTCCTTCTGGGAGGCCCTGATTCTCAGGAGAGCTGGGCTTCAGGGGGGCGGCTGGCGGGGCTCCACCCGAGGGCGGTCAGCGTGGGCTCGCCTCCTCGCCACCTTGCTCCCTTCTCCCGCACTCCTCCAGGCAGTAAAGAGGGCGTGGGTGCTGGGGCGCCCGGGGGCCAGGAGCAGCCCAGTTTGGGGGTGACAGGGAGGAGCTCTCACTGGGGAGATGGCTGGCAGGGCAGGACGGGCGCAGTGCTGCGGCTGGGGCAGGGCTGCGTCTCGGGGTCAGGGAGGGACCGGGCGGCCTGGAGAGCCTAGACCCTGGTGGCAGGTCCTGGGGAAGGCAGCCTGGCTGCAGGACCCTCGGGACGCTCCTGCCTGCTTTACAGTGGGGAGACCGAGGCTGAGAGGGCGGCTGTGACCGGCCGGGGCCCTTCCCGCCTCTCCCTCGCCGGCACCAGGCCCTGAGCCGCCGTCTGTAGAAGCCTCCAACGCCCGCAGGCCCCTCTCCGGCCGCGCCAGCCCGTGCTAGCTGCCCGCTGGGGCCGCGGGGGACGTGGCGGGCCGCCTTGATTGTGTCGATGGGAGATGATTTTCAAGGTGAAATTTCTAGTTCAGTTGAGTCACTTTCGTTCAAGGCAGCGCACAAAATGTCACCCCGCCCTGCTCCGCGCACGGTGCTGCTCTGCCCTCCCGTTGCATTTAAATTTACTTCACTTTCCCTCCCTGACACCTGTTTAAATCAATATCTTCCTCTCCAGGTCGCGGGGAGAATGTGCCCAGCTCTCCACACAGCGCTTCTCAAATCCACTAAAATCAACACAATAATTGAAATATTTTCAAGCTGATTACACCGCAGCCCGAGGCGAGCCTGGTTGCTAAGGGTGAGCTCCGCGGTTGCTAGGGGGAGTAAATCATCTTGCATTATTTGATTTTTGTTATAGATATGAAACCGCTACTCCCGCGATTAAATGTCTCTCAGCCTAACACCTATGGGACCTGGGGAGAGAGAAGAGAAAGGCACCAACCTTGACCCTGTCAAATAAATATCTCTAACTTTTCCTGTCCTCGGGCCTCCCAGCCAAACCTGTCTGTGGGTTTTTTTTCTTCCCTTAACCTGACTTTAAATAACAAAGCTGTGGGGACCCGGAGATGAAGAGCAGGAGGCTGTCTGTTCTGTTAACCGCGCGGACCCGCCATCCTTCCAGCCCACTCCCCTCTGGCCCGCGGCTCGGGCTGGCTCGGGTGGGCTTGGAGGGCCAAGCTTTCCAGTGGGGCTTCCTGCAGACAGTGGGTGGGGAGCTAAGGCCTGCCCGCCCCCGCCACCTTCCATCCTCTTCTCTACAGAATCTGACCCTGGTTTTGACCCCGGCTTCCCCAGTGGCTCAGTGGTGAAGAACCCACCTGCAGGCAGGAGCCACAGGAGATGTGGGTTTGATCCTTGGGTCGGGAAGATCCCCTGGAGGAGGGCATGGCAACCCGCTCCAGTATTCCTGCGTGGAGAATCCCATGGACAGAGGAGCCTGGCAGGCTGCAGTCCATGGGGTCACAAAGAGTCGGACACGACTGGAGTGACGCAGCATGCCCACACCTTCCTCATGCACTGGCTTTGGCCGGGGGGCCCGGAGGCGAGGCCGAGGTCAGCAGGTCCAGGATGTGGGGACCACAGCGCACAGGGCGCTCTCCCTCTGAGCCCGGGACGGTGCAGAGCTCCCACTGCTGGAGGCGGCTGTGGGCGTCCTCACCTGCTCCCGCTCTTCTGGCTCAGCCCAGGGACATGCGCCCCACACCCCTCCTGCCCTCCTCCGAGCTGTCAGGCAGCCCTCCCAGCCTACCTCGGCCAGAACCCTCAGGAAAGTGGGGGCGTCCCTGTCCGGCCGAGGCTGCACCCGTCCCAAGTCTGCCGTTGGTGGCAGGGGGCCGGCGAGGCTGCCCTGCTGGGGGGCTGCCCGCTGTCCCCGTGGATGCGCCTTAGGGAGCTAAGAGGCAGCACACATGCCTGTCGGTGGGATTGTTCGCGGGGACTCTGAGTGCTGGGCCGGCTGGGCTGGGCGGGGCCTGGCCTCTGCCCGGGGAGCTGGGGGCCGTCCCAGGTGGCAACCCTGGTCCTCTGCCTGCCCTGGGGAGGCCAGATCTGGCTGCAAAGCACTGATGCCCCCGGAGTGCCCCCCCAGCTCTGCAGGGCAGCACCTGTGTCTCAGTGCCCACTGCCCGGCACCCCCAACCCCTCAGGGCCGCCAAGCCCTGCTCGCCGTCCCTGAGGGCCTGGCTCTTCCGGGCTCAGTCTGGTCACTTATTAGAGGTCCTCGCTGACCGTTGCAGCCACCCTCAGGCCACCCGCCCTCCTGCACCCGGGATCCGAGTGCTTCCTCCTGAGTGTTTGGCGCCCGACGGGTAGTCCTCTCAGCCCCAGGGAGGCCGTCAGCCACCCACTCACCGTTGCGCAGAGGCTGGTGACAAGCCTGGCCTCCTGGGCCCCCCAGCTGGACAGCAGAGTGGAAGCGGACCCCGCTGGGGTGCCCAGGACCACAGCACTGACCAGGGTGCTCACCCCTCCCGCCAGGTGGACCTGGCCTCACCAGATTCCCCGTGCGCTCTCACTGGGTCGAGTGGTGAGAATGGCTCCCTGGCTGGCGGGTGAGAAAGGCTATGGTAGGGAGCAGCCGTGAGCAGGGCCAGGGGTGGCCTTGGTGGGGCCGTGGGGTCTATGGAACCGTCCTTGGGAAATCCAGGCCGGGCCAGGCCAGCCAGACCTTGGGCAGGACACGTGGAGGCCGTGTACGTGCCCACCGTTCACCTTGTCGGCGAACCCCTTGAGTGGCCCCCGTTTCCAGATGAGGAAACAGATTCAGGAAGGTTCACCCTCCCGCCTGAGGGTGAGCAGGGCTGAGGCTGGGGAGGGGCAGGCTTTGCGGCAGTGGGCTCTGGAGCCCTTCCCTGGCCCCAGGCCTCGGATGTCTGAGGCCTTGGAGAGAGCCTGGAGGGGTCCCCAGGCAGACGTGGAGGCCCGCCTGGACGCCTGGGTCTGGGGCTGCAGCCCCCCGCCCCCCGCATCAGAGTACGCTCAGGCATGCCTGCCCCCCCATCAGAGCCCACGGTGACCCAGAGAGGCATATCCCACCCATCCCCCAGATGAGTGTCTGGGGCCAGGGAGGCGGCCGGGGAGGCAGCCTGCCCAGCGGGCAGAGGGGATGGAGCGGAGTCCGCATCTGGGCCCCCCTGTTCTCCCCGCTTCTCCCCTGCCCGCCAGGGTCCCTTGCACCAGGAGGTCAGGAGTGACCGGCCGCCTGGAGACCTGGTCTCTGTTGCCCTCCTCCTTGGGTGGGGGGTGGCAGGGGCCTCACGTTCCTCCACCAAGTGCCCTTGGGCGAAGGTCCCATGGCCTCAGCCTCCTCGTGAAGGACAGGGGAGCCCCGAGTGGCATGCGGTCAAGGGAGGGGCCAGCACGTGGTGGCCTCGGCCATGGCGCGTCGCTCTGACTCCGAAGCAGGGCGCAGGCTCTGTGCCCTTCGAGGGCCTCTGTCCAAGGCTGTCACACCCTCCTCGAGCAGTGACCTTGTGCTGTGACCTCTGCTTGGGGTGCTCTGTCCCCATCTCTCAGCCCCCGAACTCCTACTCATCCGTCAAGGCCCGCCCTGTTGCCTCCTCCTCTGGAAGCCGTTTCCTTTCCTGAAGCCGGCGGGGTGTGCTTCCATGACAGCACAGGATGGTTCAGGCCCTGCACAGTCGTTAAGGGCAGGGATCTTGTCTGACCCGATGTGTCCCGAGCCCAGGGCTGGCTTTGGCGAATTTTTGCCAGAAGCATCCATAGGCAGGAGCACCCTCTCTGGTTCATCTGGCTCAGCCCTGGGCCCAAGGTGACCCCTCTGCCACCTGGTCCGGCTGCTCCAGCTCGGGGTGGGGGGAGGGTGCCCAGCAACCCAGATGGCCCTGGGGCGGGCCGGGGGCGGCCTCTTCTGCTGCAGCTGAGGTCAGGGGACATCGGGGGCTTGACCAGAGGGCACCTGAACTCCGGAAGGAGACCTCAGATGTAACAGCCACAGGAAGTCCTGACCTCCGCAGACACCCAGGTCCGGGGGCGCCTTTCAGGGGTGAGTGTGTCCCAGACCATCTGAGGCCTGGGGCTCGGGCGGGGCTGAGGGGACCCCCGGACGACTGGAGTCCTACCTGGAGGCCCAGGCCCCGGGTGTTGGGAGGGGGCGGGCATGGGTAGTGTCAGAAGAGTGGTGAGATGCCAATAGGCCTGGCCTCCAGGAGGAGCCCGGGGCCCTGGCGGTAAGCAGCCAGCGTGTTGTCCCCTGGGAGGGGGCGCCAGAGAGAACCCTGCCCCTCCAACCCAGATGCCCCTGTGCCTGGCTCTCCCCCTTCTCGGGGCAGCTGAGGGTCCAGCCCCTTCCCTCCAGCGCCGATCCACCCCCACCCCCACGGGCGCTCCGTGCTTTCCAGAACCCTCTGGCCACCCTGACTCTGGCTCTGGAGGATCGGCTCCCAGTGCCCACCACCCCCGTGGCCCACGGGAAGCCCCTGTGTTTACCAGGCTGCCCCTCCTGCCCCGCCTGGCCACCGGCACCCTCCCCGGCCGATCGGCAGAGCCATCTGCCACCAGAGTGGCGGGTCTCCGGCAGAAGCTGCGGCGACAAGCTGGGGATGTCAGCACAGTTATCAGCAGAAAGCAACATCTGCCTCCCTGCCGTCGACAGGCAGGCCAGTTAGCCGTCCCCCTCCTCCCTTTAGTGCAGACAACAGCTCCCTGTATTATATTTTCTCACTCAATTAGCACTATCATCCTGCTGAAATAGAGGCCAATTTACCTATAATGACATCATTGTTAGGGAGGCACGGGCGGGGCTGCCCCGGGTCGTGGAGACTGGTCCGTCTCTCTCCACTAACCCTGCCGGGCTGGCCGGCCNCTCCCCTCCCCTCCCCTCCCCTCCTCTCCTCCATCCCCCTACTACCCTCCCTCCATCTCCCTCCCCTCTCCTCCCCCACCCCGCCCAGAGGGAAAGTGGCCTGGTGATGTCAGGGTCCCTGTGAGGAGGGCATCCAAGTGAGGCCAGGAACTGGCGGCGTTGTCGGGACAGTGGGACTGGGTGTCTCGTTTCCAACCAGGACCACACAAGGCAGACGGACAGCTGGTCCTAGCTCCACTTGTCGGGTTGGAGTCGGCTCGGCTGCAGGCAGACGGACGAAGAATCACAGAAGCGCCGCGCAGCACGCCACACTCCACCCATCACCTGCGGGAGGCCTGGAGCAGCAGCGTCTCTGCGGCTCTGAGCACACTTCCTGCCTGGCTCTTGGTTCCTCCACACCAGCCTCTACTTGGCCGAGGCCGGGGCCGGGGCCGGGGCCGGGGCAGCAGTGAGGCTGAGTCAGGCATGTCTGTTCAGAAAGTAGGGAACCTGGGAGCCAGCGCCAAGGGGCGCCCGCGGGTCAGACAGGCTAATTCAAGCATCAAATAAGTAACAAGGCTCTAACCCATGGAGTGAAATAGAAACCAGGCGTCCACAGCAATGCAGATAAACAGATAATCACAAGGGGAGGAGGGAGGAGGCGTTTGAAAGGGGCCATTTGTCAACCTTTACAGTGACCATCGATTCTGGCAAGAGCCGGCGGCGGGTGTTAAAGTGGTGGGTGGTGTTGGGTAAGGAGTGTGATTTTACATAGTTTCAAAGCATCTCCCCAGCAGGTCGTGTTCGTTGAACATGGGAGAGGAGGGGAGACTGGGGTCACGGCTGGAAACACAGCTAACCACAGTGAGCCTCACTAAGGCCGGGAAGACCCCTGTGTGCCCTCCTGTGACAGCATCACCTTCCTGCCAGAACGCCCATCCCAACTCTCATCATGAGGAAACTCCATTCAACCCAGACGGAGGGGCCTCCTGGGAAACAACGGGCCTGCCGCCTCCACGGGGGTTGAAGTCGCGAGCGTTGAGGAGAACTCAGGAGACAAGGGCCCGGCAGCTGGCTGCAGCGAGGTTTCCTTCATTCTGAGGCTGATGGATACAACCTGAATCTTCCGGGCAAGCCCGTGTGCGACTCTTGTGATCTCCCTCTAAATCTGACATTCTCCCCAAGTGAAAATGTTAAAGATAAAAAGCTATAGAACACGTGCCGCTCAGTTGAAAGAAGGCAGATGCAAGTGGCCACAGAGTGTGCGATTCCACTTATGCGACTCATCGGGACGGGCGAATCAGCAGACAGAAGGTGAATCGGGGATGCCCGGGGCTGGGGCACGGGGGGTTGGTGCTGAGAGTGCCTCTCATGGGCTGCGGGCCCCCCTCCGGGTGGCAAAGTTAAGCTTGAGCTAGGTGGAGGTGCTGGCTGCTCAACACTGTGAGTGTTCTGGATGGTGTGGATCGCTTCACTTTAAGAAGGTGAATTTCCTGTGAATCAGAACCAAAAGCTGCAGGACTGAGAGAATTCAAACCTCTCCCTGTCGCTCTCTCCTGGTTCAAAGGTGTCAGGACCCCCAGGTCGGCCTTGTCTCCTCCACCCTTCCACGGATGTGCACATCTGCGGGGTCCTCACCCTCCAGCCTTGACCGGCCCCGGGTGGGGCTCAGACAGGGGTGTTAGCAGAGCACCAGGCGGCTGCTGGCCCATGGATGTGACCCCGGACCCGCCTGCCAGGGCCGCCTTGGGGCGGAGGGACCGGGGGCGCAGGGCCTGGGTGAGGTCCACGCCTGCTCCACGCCTGTCCATTGGGTCAGAGGCTTGGGGCTGGACGCATAGGCCGAGTGTCTGGGGAGGGTCCCGTGCAGCCGAGGTCCCTGTGGGCAGACAACCATGGGGCTCCCTTCTGATGAGCTGAAAGCCTGGCAAGTCTGGCCATGTGTCTCCCAGGCCCCAAGCCAGCCTGAGAGGGGCCTCCCGAGACCCTGGATGCTGTCCCCTGTCCCCAGGAGCCCGTCTCACTCTGGGGCACGCACCCCCAAACAGGGAGGAGCCCAGGGTCAGGGTACGGGGCGGGGGCACCCAAGGGCGGGGCTCTGGGCCTGCACTTCCGGAGGGCCCCCGGGAGGGTCGCAGAGATGGCAGGTTCCCGTGACGAGAGGGCCCGGTGCCTGGAGGGAGTAGGGAGGCCGAGCCCAGGAAGGCTGAGTGGCGGCCCGGAGCCCCCACGGCGTTCGGACCCAATTCAGCCCTGGCTGTAACTCTGTGGGCCAGAGAGTGACCTGGTCAGCGCTGCTCCAGGGCGTCCGGGGTCCCTGGAGGCTTGCCGAGGGCCTGATGTGGGGGTCCTGGGTGTGGGTCTGGGACTATTCGGGAGGAGTGATTTTTCCCAGGCTGGCAGCTCTCGCAGGCCTGACCCTGAGGAGCCCTCAGGCCGTTAGCAGACGCCCAGCCCGCCCCGCACGGGGCTGCGGAGGCCCAGATGGAAATTTACGGTGTTGAGGAGAGAGCCTCTCGCCTGGGGTTCCGGCCGGCCGGGGCAAGAGGACAATATTTCCCACCGAAGGGAAGTGCAGAAGCTCTTAACAGATCGATGGCTGCCTCTGGTCAATAAACCACGGAGCTCTGTGGAGCCCCCCGCCCCCTGCCGCATCCTCCCAGGGGCTGCGGTGGCTGAGATGGGACCCACACCCGCTTTCTCCTCCAGGCCCGGGTCGGGGTCGCCACGGGGATGGGTCCCAAGAGCAGGCAGTGTGGGCATCAGGCGGCTGAGCATGCTGACCCGGGTCCCCGCCGTCCCGAGCCTCAGTTTCCTCCTCTGTCTGGTGGACACCAGGGCATCCTGGAGGGCTCCTGAGCAGTGGGGGGGACGCTGTAGAGCGCGGGGCAGGAGCGTGTGCATGGGTGCAGCCTCCTGGCCCATCAGCCCAGACTGAGGCCGCCTCCACCGCTTGCTCGCTGCGGCAGAGTGGTGGGCTGCCTGCCCAGCTGGCCCCAGGGGATGCCACGTGGCCGGGACGCGGGGCCAGACTCTGCTCTCCATCTGGTTCAGCGTGTCTCTCTCCAGACACCCCCGCCTCCTGTGGCTTCTGCCCTCTCCCCCCGCCCCGCTGGAGCGGCCTGCGTAGTGCCAGCCGCATCCTCCCAGGGGCTGCGGTGGCTGAGATGGGACCCACACCCGCTTTCTCCTCCAGGCCCGGGTCGGGGTCGCCACGGGGATGGGTCCCAAGAGCAGGCAGTGTGGGCATCAGGCGGCTGAGCATGCTGACCCGGGTCCCCGCCGTCCCGAGCCTCAGTTTCCTCCTCTGTCTGGTGGACACCAGGGCATCCTGGAGGGCTCCTGAGCAGTGGGGGGGACGCTGTAGAGCGCGGGGCAGGAGCGTGTGCATGGGTGCAGCCTCCTGGCCCATCAGCCCAGACTGAGGCCGCCTCCACCGCTTGCTCGCCGCGGCAGAGTGGTGGGCCGCCTGCCCAGCTGGCCCCAGGGGATGCCACGTGGCCGGGACGCGGGGCCAGACTCTGCTCTCCATCTGGTTCAGCGTGTCTCTCTCCAGACACCCCCGCCTCCTGTGGCTTCTGCCCTCTCCCCCCGCCCCGCTGGAGCGGCCTGCGTAGTGCCCGAGCACTGGTGGACCCAAGCCTGTGGGTCGGCCCAGAGCCCTGCTAGCACATCGGGGGCCACACTACCCACCACGGGCCCCAGGAGCAGCAGGTGGGGGGCTGTGCACACAGCACCTCCCACCCCAGGGGGCAGCGTCCCGAGTGCCCGGCCCCACAGGCTGGGTGAGGTCTAGGTGTGGAGGGGCTGAAGCACAGGCTGTGGAGAAGCGGAGGACAGGGCAGGGCCAGCTCCTTGGGGACGAGGCTGGCCCGTGTGGCCCCTCCCTGGCATCTTCCAGGCCGGCGACCCTCGTTCAGTGACACTGCTGAGGTCCGTGAGCCATCGGAGTGGCTGTCCTGAATTCTCAGTTCTCCCCGCCAAGGCCCCCGGGAGAGGCCTCTCTGTGTGGGTGAAGGGGTCTGGCTCCCAGGAGGGGCTGGGGAGGGGTTCTCCCCTGGCAGAAACCAAGCCCCTGACATCCAGAGGCCAAGCCTTACCTCTGTCGTTGGGTGGGCGCAAAAACTTGCCCAGTGTTGGGGGGAAGGGCTCAGGGTCATCCAGCACGCTGGAGGCCCCGCTTCTTAACTCCCATTTTATCCCCGTTTCGCAGGTAAGACAACAGAGGCTCCAGGTCCAGGCCGTGCCCTGGGCCAGGGACCGCCTCCTGGGGCCTGCAGTCCCGCCCGCCAGGCCAGGCTGGTGCCAAGGAGCCTTGGCGCCTGGAAACCGGAGAAGCCAGACAGCCTGTGCGCCTGTTGCCCTGGAGATGCGAGGGGGCCGCCTGTTTGTCTCAGAGCCAGGCCCCAGCGGCCCCTTGGCCCCCGCGCCCCCCGGCCAGACACGGCTCCGGGCATCAGACAGGGTGACTGTGGGGCCGGCTCCACGGACTAAGGCCTGGACCAGGCTGGTAAGAAAGAAGCTATGGGTCCTGTGGGCACGGCCCCAAGGCCAGGGCATCAACTCCGCCTGCAAGGAGGCGGTGTGCGGAGCCTCCCCGAGAGCCCGTGCCCCCTGAGCTGGGCAGGAGCGTCCTGTCCGAGCAGAGCCCATGGGCTCCTGTCCAGACCCAGGTCTGGGAAGCGGGCCCCCAGGCAGCTCCCCATCCATCGCGGGAGCCAAGTGCACTGGAGAACGTCCTCCCGGCCAGATTAGCCGTGCACACGCTCCTGAAGACACTAAATCCACAAATTGGCAGAGAGTAGGGCCAGGCCAGGGTACTCCGTCAGCTCCTGTCCAATTAGCCCTGATACCGTCCTAATCCTCCCCGACGCTGGGAAGTCAGCCGGGCACCGCCGGCCCTTCCGGCGGGCTCCTCGGTCCCGCCGGCTCCTTCCGCCCCTCCAGGCGCAAAGATGACTTTCCCTATCAAAATGTGCAATAAAGGCGGCGAGGCCCATTTCTTTTTTCTATTTTGAATTCTGTTAACTGACAATTTAACCTAAAATCCTCTGTATTTCCAGCTTGTACAGCCGTAAATAGAGACTGACAGTTTATTTTCACATCCCGGCTTGCGGGGGGCGGCGGGGGGAAACCCATTTGAAATAAATACTTGCGGGTCCCTGACAGACTCCAGACGGGCCGTCGACGCCGCCTGGCAATCTCTGGGACCTGTCACACTCTGTGATCCGTCTTTTTACAAACACAAACGCCGCTGATTTCTTATCAAATGTAAAACCGGCCCAGCTCTTTCTTAAATGGTTACCACGAGCATGAAATTGACATTGTGAATCACATGTGACACTGGCTTGTCTGCACTGTAATTGATCGGTGCTTAGGACCGGGGCTGCCCCAGCCCCCGCCGGCCCGGCCGCACCCCCCGCCCGCCAGCCCGCCGAGCTGGCCCGCCAGCCACGACGTCAGTGGGAGAAAACCCCCAAGAAGACGCTGGATCCATGTTCACCCGGCCTCCCCCCTCCGCGATCCTCCGAGGTGTCAATTCCAATTTCCACGGCTTCATCATTACGCACATCAAACGGCTGTAATTGGCTGCTACAGAAATTTATCCTCCGAAAGGAGAGCGGGGGCAGCGGAGGAGGGCGCCTCGGAGAGCGGGAGGCGGCAGCGGTAATGAGATTTTGGAAGCCGCGGTGCCACCCCCGAGGTTGGCAGGGAGAGGGGAGGCTGGCGAGCCCGCGCGCTCGCTCGCGCCGGCGAACAAAACGCCGTTTGAAAACAAGCCTGGCAGAGTGTGGGTGTCACACAACAGTCGCAAACACACAGCAGCCTTCCAGGGACAGCCGGCCGCCTTTCACTGCCTCGTCGTCACCACGGCGACTGCGGGCCGCACTCGCGGCCCCGCCCCCACCCCGCGCTGGGCATAGCTGGGTGCCCCCTGCCACGCAGACGCCCCTGGGGGGGGGGGTTCTGTTCTGCAGGCAGGGAAACTGAGGCTGAGGGGCCAGGGGGAGTCAGGACCCCAGAGCACTGGGCCTCCTCCTTCAGAGGCTTTGTCTCCGGCCACACTTGGGGCCTCTCTGCCATGCCATGGCCCTCAACGGTGCACCTGCCTCGTGCAGACCACCCACCCCACCTCCGAGGCTGCCCACCCTTTGTCCCGCAGGGCCAGCCCATGCCCCGGGTGGCCCATGAAATCTGAATTGGTTTTTCAGGCCATGGATTTTCTGGGACCTCCTGGGGAGCAAGTTAGCCTGTGAGGAGACAGAGCAGAGCCCGCGGCAGGGCCCCTGGCTGCACCCCCAGGCTCTCTCCTGCTCAGGGCTCTGCACACACGTCTCTGCCTCCCCCAGTCCCAGCTCTGCCTGACCTGGCCCTGGGGAGCAGGTATCCCCATGGCTGGGGGAGCGGGGCCCACGCGCAGTCCAGCAGCTCCCCGGGCGAGGGTATTTATGTCCTTGTTGTTCCGTTTGGATTTTGTGCCTGATGAAACAATGACGCCAAATTACATGCGCAGCGATCCCGCCTGGCGGCGGGCGGATGGCAACTCCCCGGACCGCGGCTGCACTGCCTGCCTCCTCTTCTGGGCCCTTGGCCAGGCCCTCCAGGCTCTCCCCGCGGCAGAAGACAGTGCCCGTTTTCCAGAACTGACATGGGTTTCCTGGGCGAGCCCACAATGAGATGTTCAGGCCGGTATCCCCTCCTGGGCCTGCACGCCTGCAGAGGCTGGCTGAAGCATCTCAGGAAGTCTGGGGGATGCCTCGGTCATGTCTGGGAGCTTCTCAGGCCTCCTGGACAGGAAAGCAGCATCCTCCTGGCTGCCGGGCTGACCTTTCTTGTGTGGGTGCTGCCCTGGGTTCATTGCAATGGAGTGTGTTTCCCTTTTTGCCCTGGCCCCTGGGAAGCTCAGAGTCAAACCACAGTCTGTTTCCGCCTGTGTGGCTCCATGGTATGCACTTCTGAGCCCTGACCTCAGTTCTGGCTTCGCTGCATTTTCACTCAGTCAGGTGTTATTTCATTCTTACTGCCTCAGATTCTTTGGGAATGCCACGGCTGAGGTGAAGGGCCTGGACCTGCTGCTGCTGGGCTGCAATAGGGCCCGCTTGCTAAACGCCCACCCCAAGGTCTGTGTTCAGCTCCCATGGTGGGGGAGGACCAGAGCGGGGCTCGGACCGGAGGGACATCTTGTGTTGCTGCTAATGGCAGGGGACCCATTCTGTGGTTTGATTCACGGGCAGCTCCCAGGGAACCATAGGGAAATGGCAGGGTGATCGAGTCCAGGGTCAGCAAGCAGGTTTCCCCCGTCGTCTGTGGTGGAGAGCCTCTGGGGTGCCCGGCACGGAGGGTTCTGTGGTCCTGCCTGGGAGAGCGTGAAGGGCTCACATCGTGCTATCTGCTGGCTGCTTGCCACCTGGGGCTGCTGGTCACACTCCCTGATGCTGGGCTCCCTGGGCACCTCTCCAGCCACCGTCCTTCCCTTCACCTGCTCAGAGAATGGTCCTCGGGCACTACCAGTCTGTCTGAGCACTGGGGCGGCCAGGTCTTCTGGGTTTCTGTCGCGGGCCCTGAAGGCCGGGCAGTGAGGTCACTGTGAGCAGAGCGGGGCCTCGGATGGGGAGGGTCTGTGCTTGAGATGCCAGGGGAGAGAGGTCACCCTGGGGAGGGCGGGTGAGGCAGAGGTGGGATCTGGGGGCCCCTGGGAGGTCCAGAGGATGGGGGCATGGCCTGGGGCCACCCCGGAATTCGGGTCCCCAAAAGGATGGGCTGGTGGGGGAGGATGAGCTGTGTGGCGCTCCAGGAACATGAGTGGGCCTCTTAGAGCTCAGGTGTGAATCCTGGGGTCCCCCAGGACCCCACCTCCCCCTCTACTCTTGGAGAGCCAGCGGGAGCCCGGACGCCAGCTCCAGCATCATCATCAGTGGAAGGAGAAGGCCACTGAGTCAGCCCCGGTCCTGGCGGGGGGCTCTGCCAGGGTGCCCCGAGTCAGGGCCGCTCACACGGGTGGGCCGCCCCGTCCTCCCCTGACCCAGGGCTCACACAGGCGGGCCGCCCCATCCTCACCCGACCCGGGGCTCTCCAGACATCAAAGCTCAGGAGGAGATTTTCCTGCTCGGGCTGAGAACAGAGGTGACGTAAGTGAGGACCCAGTGAGTAATAGGAGTGAGCGAGCCTCTCCCCGCGTGCTCTGCCAGCCCGGGGAAGAGAGGCTCCTGGGGTCTCCACCCCTCCCCAGCACCCCTGCCTGTCCCCAGGGACTCAGAACAGCGGGTGAAGGGCAGGTCTCAGCAGAGCCGTGCTGGCCCAGCCTGAGGATGGCCTGGTCCTGGCCCCTTGGGAGAGGTGGAGGCCAGCGGGGCGGCCCCTGCGCCAGCCAGGCAGCGGGGGTGGCCAGGCGAGGGGGATGCTGGGCCAGGGGCTGCAGGTCTCAGGGCTGGGCGCACACAGCGTCCTCTGGACGTGCGGTCTGGGGCGGCCGGCCTGCCTGGCTGCCCCCTCTTCCCTCCCGTACACAGCAGCTTGGCTGAGACCTCAGAGGGGGGAGTGGGCTCCGCCACAACACTGCTCGCAGGCCCGCCCACCTTTGGAGGCTGTGGGTCAGGCATGCACCTGACCTCAGGTTCCTGCTCTGTCCCCTGCCCTTCAGCCGCCCTCCTCCCTGTGGCTGCCCAGCAAGGCTGCCCCGCGAGGCCCTGAGACACGCTGACACTCTGTCTGGGGGTGGTGGGCCACCTCACAACGAGACCCCGGGGTGGCCGGGTCCTTGGACGGGGCTGGGCCAGGCCTGGCCTTGCCTTACCACGGAGCAACCCTGGGCCGGGCAAGGCCAGGCTGATGTTTCTGAACGAGTGGGGAAGGGAGGGGGGGAATGCCAAAACTTTAAGGTATATGAACTGTGAAATTAAATCGAAATACTCAAATAAGGAATCGCAGAACAACATAAGCAAAGATGTTTACCAGGGCTTGAAGTTAAATACAGATTTTTTCATAAACCCAAACACAAGTGCAATAAAGTTCTGTGGAATGTTAAATATAATTTACAGTGGAAAGAATGTTCCTTATCGTCATAAACCTATGTGCACGGTGTCACTATCTGGGCGCTGGGAAGCGGAGTTCCGCTGGCCACACTGCTGGGCCGGGCCCAGGGTCCCCAGGGGTGGTGGGCGCTCACTGCAGGCCCAGACGGTGTTCCTTTCTTGGAGCGGGGTCTGGAGCTGGCTGTCGCTGCTAATTTGCCCTGTGCTTGGGCACGGCCGTAAAGCTCAGGTCAGGCGGGGCTCAGGGAAAGAAAACTCTCCAAACAGAAAAGCCGTCAGTGAGGGGTCACCCAGGTGCTGGTCCCGCCTGGTCTTGGTCCTGGGCCCCTCCCACCAGTGCAGGCAGGTGCAACGCAGGCCTGGAGAGCTCCCACCCAGAGACGCCAGCCCTGGGGCCAGGGGATGGGGGCCAAGACATCCAGCTTCCTTGGCCTGCCCCCTCCTCCCACTCAGATCCTGGTGCAGGAAGATAGTCACTTACACTCTAGTGAGAACGAGCTCCTTTATTGTCCCCCTCCCCAGGACTGTGGTGTTGGAGGAGAGTCTTGAGAGTCCCTTGGACTACACGGAGATCCAACCAGTCCATCCTAAAGGAAATCAATCCTGGGTGTTCATTGGAAGGACTGATGTTGAAGCTGAAACTCCAATATTTTGGCCAACTGATGCGAAGAGCTGACTCATTTGAAAAGACCCTGATGCTGGGAAAGATTGAAGGCAGGAGGAGAAGGGGACGACAGAGGATGAGATGGTTGGATGGCATTGCTGCCTCAATGGACATGAGTTTGGGTAAACTCCAGGAGTTGGTGATGGACAGGGAGGCCTGGCGTGCTGCGGTCCATGGGGTCGCAAAGAGTTGGACTCGACTGAGCAACTGAACTGAACTGAACTGAAATCCCCAGGACAAGGGTCTTCTCCCCTTCCATGGCATCGGTGTCGACCCGGGAAGTCCACTGGCATGAAGAGGCTTGGGGTCGGGGAGCTGCCCAGAGTCACACACCTGATTCCAAGTGAGTTCCGACTGGAACTCTCCTTCGGGGCCTCTGGAGAGAACAGCTGAGCTCAGAGGTCTTGGCTGGGAAGTTTATCCAGAGCAGGAGCCCCCATAGGCCAGAATCACAGCCTGCACTCCAAGTGTGTGTGGATGCATGTGGATGCGTGTCCGTGAGGTTGCAGGTATGTGTAGCTGTCTGTGTGACGTGCATCTGAACGGGGCCCACGTGTGTCCATGTGTCTGTGTGAATGCAAGAACACCTGTGTGACCCTTGGGGTAGCTGTGCCCCCTTCTCCCTGACCCGTGGGGCAGCCCTGGCCCAGGCAGGCAGTCATGGGGGGTGTGTGCTGGAGGTGGACCCCCAAGCCCTGGGCGCCCAGGCTCTGAAGGTGGACGGAGCGACCTGGTTTCCCCACCACGTCCTGCCCCCACCCCTTCCGCCTGACCAGGAGCCTGAGCATGAGCCGTGGGGGTGGGGGGCGAGTGTGGGTGAGCCCTGGGTGGGGGTGGGGGTCAGTGCAGGACCCCCCTTCCCTGTGGTCAGCTTAGTGTGAAACGAGTTCCCCCCCCCTCCCCCTGGACCAGTCTTGGCCTTGGCTCTTGGGCACAGCAGCTGAGGCTTCTAGGCCCGGATGGGCTGCCCCAACCTGGATGGGGTGGTGGACCAGGACTGCGGGGAGGGCCCCCAGTCATCAGTATCACGCCCAGCATGTGGACCCCGGCCCAGGTCCAGCTGGGTGCCGGTCGGGTGGGGTCCCTGTCCTCAGGGCCGGGCTGTGTGCACTCAGCATCTCCTCCGGATGGGGGGATCTGGGCCAGGGATGGGCCACCTGGGTCCCCTGGCCTCGGGGGGCTCCTGGGGCGGCCCCGCCAGGGTCTGTGGTGCCCAGGCCCAGGCAGCTGCCCCTCGGGCCTCCTGCCTGCTGCCCACTCTCCCCGGGCTGTGCCCTCCGCCTGCCCACAAGCCGCCTGGTCACTCCTGCGTTTGCAGGCGGCAGCGGCGTTTCTCCGGATCTCAGCCTCCCTAAATTATCTGCTGCTGCTACAGGGAGTATTTTCTTTAAAAACAGGATGGATGTGAGAAAAACAACAATACCCCAAAACCACACACAAGGGGTGGATCGGGCTGGCTCGTCAGCGCTGAATAATCGAGCTGCAACCTCACTGATGGGAAACAAAAATAAACAACCCACCGGGGCACCGGGGCTGGGGGCTTCCACATGCAGCGCCGCCCCCCCAGTTGGTACCTGGGTCCCAGGTCCCAGACGGCAAGGGTGCGGGCGTCTTGGAGGGACCTGCCTTGTTCCACCGCCTCTGCCGGGCACCGGCCCTAGGGAAGGTCCCTTGGAGGTGGTGCCCCCGGCGGGCATGGAGGAGGTCAGGCCTTCCAGCCCCTCCCAGGGACGAGACCCTTTGTGGTAACCAGAACCCCACTCGGTAATTCAAGCTTGCGTCCCCCTGCTCCATCCTCAGTGAAGATGGACAACAGCTGGCCATCTCTCTTTTTCCAGTAAATCCCACCCGACTGTACCGCCGGGGAGGGATCAGCCAGCTCAGCTGTCCAGCCGGAGGAGACGGGCCAGGTCTCCGTCAGCCCTGGGCTCTCGAGGTCGGACGGGAAGACCCAGGCGGGGAGCCCGCGGCGCAGCAGCCCCCTTCAGCCCCGTCTTCGTGTGGGTGGTGGGCGCGCTGTGCCGGCGGGAGGGCCGGGGCCTGGGGGGCGGCGACCACCGCTTTGTGCAGCCAAGTCCCCGCCGCATTGTGTACTGGGCCGAACTTTAGCTCACAATTTGGGATTAGAGCAAATCCGAGTATTTTTCTGCATGCCTGCCCGCTCCCGGGCGCCCAGAGCCTGCTGGGTAACTGCCTATTATCCACCGGTTCCACTCCAGTGCCCTCCCCAATAAAACTTTTCATATCCTTATAAACGAACTCGATTGCCGTGTTATAAACATTTACACTGTGCTAACAGATCATCTCCGCACATCAGAATTGGCTAAATTCCCTTTTCCAGATGAATATATTGAAGGAGATTAGAGATATGATAGCTTTTCAGATTGCTGAACCCAGAGAAATTAGTTTAGTGAGCATTTACAGAGGCTAAATTGGAACCATTAAATAGTGGATTAAATTGATGGCACTTTCATTGTCTGTCCTTCGGTACCGCTGTAAAATCAATTAGCCGTCACCAGCCCATTCTCCATATAGTGAGATTGTCATCCTCCCTGGAAGCTGATGCAAAACCTCCCAGCGGTGGTGATGGGTGTGAAGACACACCTATTAGGTGGCTTGGGGCAGGAAATAGCATCAGGGACCCTGGCTGCCCCGGGGCAGGGCCCTGCCCACCGCCCAGGCCTCCCCGTCTCCCCAGCCTCTGCATTGTGCGTTGGGGGGTGGGGCAAGGAAGCAACTCCGGAGGCAATGGGGTCAGGAGCGTGGGTGCCTGCAAGCGTGGTTGCGCCCTAAGTGAGGCAGAAGGCAGCACGTGTCTGCAGGAAGTCGCAGCCTTGGCACGGAGGACGTGGAGGGGGCTTGGGGGCTGCCTGGAAGCGGCTCTGGGCCACGTGACTCCTGCTCTGCTGAGAGCCTTACTGAGCAGCAGTGCAGACAAGCGGAGATCCCAGTGAACCCTCGTCGTGGCCCCGGTGGGGGAGCGGGCCCTGTTCTTGTCCCCAGTTCTCAGAGGAGGAAACTGAGGCTCATTCAGCCCAGTGGCCGGCCTGACGCCCACAGCGAGGCCTGCAGCCTGGAGCAGCCGTCCTGGGCTGAGACGCTTGGGCTACGCCCAGTTCCGGGAGAGCAGGGCCTACCTCACTCACCCAAGTTCACGACCAAGTGACCCTCGGGGCAGAGGAGCAAGCTGGGAGGAGCCGATGGCCCAAGTGAG